CAAGCCAATGTTTCTTGCATGAATAAGGCCTGGTCGCATACCAGGCAGACCGACTACGGGTTCCACGCCATTGTCGAGACACTTGCGCACTCACCTGCAGCCCTGCTGCGCTGGGAGGGCAAGGCTCGATGCAGGGGCCCCAGGACAGCCCCCAATCCAGCTCGGCCTCGCGAGCGGCGTCTCTGCCGAGAACATCGGGAACATCGAGCACTCCAATTGAGGCGGTGGGTGGCTCATGGCTCGCAACAATCTCCGCGCCCATCGGCGCCCCGCAGGTCGAGCCGCCGGGTCCAAGCTCCAGGCGCCGCCCCAGTGGACGCTGGACGGCTTCGCCGCGATGCTGGTGCACTTCCGAGGATTCTCCATGGTGGTCATCACGTTCGACGCATTCCAAAACTCAGGGCTCACAGGAGCCAACATAGGCCGCTTCCTGCGGTTGTCAGCGCTCGCGCATGCTCTCCAATTGACTTGGCTCGTCAGCGGCGACTTCACGATGAGTCCATCATTCTTGGTCAAGACAAAGGCGTTGAAACAGATCGGAGCCGTGCTCGCGACAACTGATACCCAGGCCACTTGCGTTCTAGGTGGTGGAACACATATAGATTATCCCATGCACACTGAACCCGCCAAGCCCTTCATCCGCGAGACCCCCCCTGCGGAGTCGGCCACCTGGAGGCCCCACACTGGGCTCGAATTGGCGCTCCTTAATTCGGGTCAGCCGCTCGTGACTCGCGCAATGAGCAGTCCCCAGCAAAGCCCCCTCAAGCACCCCAACCGTCTGCGGAACCCAGCCCCGGGTCCAAGGCCAGCGCTGCCCGTGCCAAGCAGCAGGTGCAACGCCGGGCGCAGTGCAGGCGCGGCTCGAAAGTGTCATTCCTTGTCTGGGGTTGAGTCTGGCCGAAGGGTCAGAACTATGGGGGGGCAGAACGTCAAGACGACCCTGGGCGACACTTCTGTTTTCACTTCTGCCGTCAAGACGGCGGGGCGGCGAAAGACCCGAAAGCAAGAGAACACTGGGTGGCGAAAGACCCTACAGCAAGAGAAATGGCGAAGACACTCATGAACGACACCGGTGTTAGAATGCACATGTTGGTTCAACGCTTTTCTGAAGCAACTCGATCTTGGTTCAACGCGTTTCTGAAGCAACTCGATCTTGGTTCAACGTGTTTCTGAAGCAGCTCACCCTTTCCGACACGCGCCGAAGTACATCGATGGAGCGTGCGAGCCCGAACATTCGAAACTACGATAGTTACCACGGCAAGTTTTTAAATGGGGAACGGTTGGGGTCGTTTGCTACTTGATCGCAGCCGTGAGGCGTCGATGAAATCGGGCCCAACTAAGCACGACCACACATATGATCGGCATCCTCCACCTCTTCTTGTTCCTCCTCCACCTTATTCATCTCTCCTCCTTTTCCTCCCCCTGGCCCCCCCCCTCCTCCTAGCTGTCGTTCTCATCTCTATCTTGCTCCCACCTTTCTCCCTCCACCATCCTCTCCTCTTCCTCCGTTGTCTCCTCTCCTCTTCTTTCTCTCCTAGTCAATTTACTCGCTGCCCCCTTTACCCTTGCGAAAAAAAGAGCACCCTGATTTTTATCATGTGAGCCCTGGCGTCCAGGGCACCTCCAGCGCCGCCTCGCCGCCGCCCGACCAAAGCATGGGCAGCGGCGGTTCCCGCGCCCACTCGCGAGGAAGCCTCGCAGTGGGCAAGGCGGCCCACTAAAAACCAGCCGACAGCACAGCCTTTCCGCGATGCCACTTCCTTTGTCCTTCATCTGATCGTGTTCCTCCTCATCCCTTGACCCCTCTTCTTCCACCACCACCTCTACCTCGTTCCCGCTCTACCTCTGCCAGGGTCATTGCTTCCCCCCCTCCTCCTCCTCCTCCTCCTCCTCCTCCTCCTCCTCCTCCTCCTCCTCCTCCTCCTTGTCCCCCCGCTCCTCCGCCTCCTCCTCCTCCCCTCTCCTCCTCCTCTCCTCCTCCTCCTCCTCCTCCTCTCCTCCTCCTCCTCCTCCCCTCCTATCATCCTCCATATCCTTATCCTCCTCCTCCTCCCCTCCAATCCAGCCTCCTCCTTCCTCCTCCTCCTCCTCATCCTGCCCCCCTCCTCTTCCTCCTCCTCCTCCTCCTTATCCTTCTCCTCCTCATTATCCTCCATATTCCTCCCCTTATCCACGCGGTGGCTGAGCAGCTAGGCGCCTGGGCCGCCTGGGCTGCTAGCCAGAGCCAGAGCGCTCGAGCTCGGGGCGCCTGGGCTAGTCGCGCCTAGCGCGCTTGAGGCCCGAGGACGGCGCGCTCGAGCTCGGGGCGCGCCTCCTCGTCGAGCACACGCTGACCGCCGAGTCGTCGAGCTCGAGCTCCTCCTTCACGGCCTGCTGGGCCTTCTCCGCCGAAGGAGCCAGCTCGTTCAGCAGCGCGGCGGCCGCCTTCGGCGTTGGCGTCGCGCACGCCGATCCTGCCTGGCTGCCGCCGCCTCTGCTGCTGCTGCCGTCGTCGGGAGCCGCTCGCTCCTCGTTGGCGATGTGCTGGAATTCAGCCCAGAACCCGCTGGGCACGTCTTTGGACTTGTCCGTCTTGTGCGCCTTCAGGAAGTCGCGAGCCTGCTGCGGGCCCGACGGCTCCCGCCTCAAGGACGGGAGCATGTTCACGCCCTTGATCATGGTCACCACCTGCTAGGCCTTCGCCTAAGGGGGGGGGGGGGGGGGGGTCCCCCTCCCCCTCCTCATCCTTCTCCTGCTCCTCATCCTCCCCCTCATCATCCATCTCCTCCTCCTGGGGCGCCTCCTCCTCGTCCTCATCGTCGTCCTCCTCATCACCCTCCTTCTCCTCCTCCTCCTCCCCCTCCTCCTCCTCCTCCTCCTCCTCCTCCTCTTGTTCCTCATCCTTCCCCTCCTCATTCTCATTCTCCTCCTCATTCTCAATATCCTCCTCCTCCTCCTCCTCCTTCTCCTCCTCTTCCTCAAGTCCGCCTCCTTCCCTCCTGTTCATCCCTCTCCTCATCCCTCCTCCTCATCCCCCTCGTCCTTCTCTTCCCCCCTCTGCTCATCCCTTCCCATCCCTCTCCTCCTCATCTCTCGTCCTTCATCTCCTCCTCTCCTCCTCCTCCCTCGCCCTCCAACTCCTCCTCCTCGTCCTTCTCCTCCTCATCCCTCTCCTCCTCCCTCTCCTCATCCCTCCTCGTCCTTCTCCTCCTCACCCTCCTCCTGTTCACCCATCTCCTACTCCCATCTCCCCCTCCCCCCTCCTTCATCCCCCTGCCTTTCCCCAGGGAGAGCGGGGGGGAAGGAGGGAGGGCGGCAGGGGGGAAGGGAGGGAGGGAGGGAGGGAGGGGGGAAGGAGGCGGACTTGAGAAGGAGGAGGGGGAGGAGGAGGAGGAAGAGGGGAGGGGGAGGAGCAGGAGAGGAGGGGGGGGAGGAGGAGGAGGAGAGGAGGAGGAGCACGAGGAGGAGAAGGACGAGGAACAAGAGGAGGAGGAGGAGGAGGAGGATGGCGAGGAGGAGGAGGAGGTGAGGAGGAGGAGGAGGAGGAGGAGGAGGTCGAGAAGGAGCAGGGGGAGGAGGGGGAGGGAAAAGGGGAGGGGGATGGCGGCGGGAGGGGGGAGGGAGGTAGGGAGGGAGGGCGGAGGGAGGGAGGGATGGGAGGGCAGGGGGGGAGAGAGAGGAGGGGAGGGAGGGAGGGGCGGAGGGAGAGGAGGGGAGGTCCAGCCAGCGTCACTGTTCACTGCTGCCCCTCCTCCTCCTCCTCCTCCTCCTCCTCCTCCTCCTGCTCCGATTCCTCTTCCTCCTCCTCCTCCTCCTCCTGCCAGACTCATCCCCCTGCTCCGCGTCATCTTGCTCACTCCTCCCTCGTCTTGCTCCACCTCCTCCTCCTCCTCCTCCTCCTCCTCCTCCTCCTCTCCTCAAGTCCGCCACCGCCCGCTCGCCATCTGGGCGAGCGCTGTCGCGACGGCCTCCGCCGTCACGTCGTTCTCCTGCACGCACGGCTTGACCTCCAGGACCTTCCCAGCCCGCGCCACGCAGGAGACGATTTTGTGCAGCGCGTTGTACGCGTTGACAACCTTCGTCATGCTGCTGCTGCTGAAGAGCACGTTGCCGATCTTCTCGTTGTAGGCCCCCGCAGCGTCGAACGCTGCGTCCATCTCGGGAAGCACGCCCTTGCAGGTCGCACTGTTCCTCTTGAGGCAGTCCGCCATCATCCTGAGGAGCAGCTGGCCGTCGGATCCTGAAATCATCGCCACCGCTTTGATGAACTGCCGAACGTTCTGGGGCTCGAGCTTGCACGTCCAGCCAGCCGTCTCGAAGCTGTGCACCTTGCTCGAATTCAAGAGCCCGTCGATGCGAACCAGCATCCGCGCCATCATCCGCTGCGTGTGTACACACTTTCCGAACAATATGTTCTCGTCCAAGGGCTGCTGCAACTGGTACATGTTCTCATGCTGCTGCGCCGCGCACCCCACGAGGTCCTTGACCTGCGTCACCATGTCCAGGTACGCCATCGCGTGGGCCCCCTCCATGCGCATCGGCTCGCCATTCATGGCAGTCCCTGGGACCAGGATGGAGCGACCATCCCCAGCCTCAATGATTGACACCAGGTCTCCCAACGCCAGGTTGTAAGAGGACTGCTCGATCACCTTGTCATCTTCGATCGACCCGTCTAACCAGCAGATATTCTCCAAGAAGACATCCTTGAGGTCCCCATGAACGGTGACCACCCTGGCGAAAGCCTCCTCGGCAGGAACTTCTTTGATGACGGCCTCGCTGATCGCATGGATGGTGAAGATCGGGATCGGAGCGATCTCGGCGGGCTTACCGTTGATGAACTGGTCGGTACACTCGGTGTAGATATGCATCCCTTGGGGGGTTGCGCTAAACCGACGGCCTCACTCGCTGCCCCCCCTTCCTCCGTAGAGTCACCCCCGCTGGCAGCACGCGACGCGCAGCCAACGAAACTTACTCTACACAGGGAAGGGGGGCGAGCCGCGAGTTCAGCACGCCAAGTGAGATCAACCCGTCGGGCCTGGACCGCCGACGAACGCCTGAAAGGCGGTCACGGTCTTGTCGATGACCTCCTGGCGGGTCACGGCGCTCGAGGCATCGAAGACGAAGCCCTCCTTCTGGGTGAAGCTCACCATGCCTGCGAACTGAACGATCTCATTCGCAAGGTTGTCGTGTACCTCCTTGCTCGGCGTGTCGACCTTTCGCATCTTCACCAGCTTGCAGGACGCATTCATGAAAGACGCCATGTTCTTCAACACGCTAGAGATGGAAATGAGGTTGCTCTCGAATTTGAGTGGGTTAAAGTCCTCCTCTGCAATGTAGTCGAAAACGGGATCGCCCACGAGCTGGTGCAGGAGGTTAGCGCTGCACCTCCACTTACGGTCCAAGTCAGATAGGCACCCCCTGAACTGGTCAACGGTGCTCTCGAAGAGGTGCGTTCGCTTTTCGAAGTTATCGATCATGTCCTTCAGCTTGGCCTTGTACTCCTCGAAGGTCTTAGGCTCCTGCTCCTGCTTCTCAGACTGCTCGTCCTCGCCAGCCTCTCCCTGAGCCGCATCGTTTGCAGGATCGCTGTATTGATGAATCAACGCGTCACCGAGAATAGGAATCTGATCGACGATGAGCTGATCGAAAATATCAACGAGCATGTACTTACCGATTTGGAGCAAGACCAAGCAGTTGTTGAGGTTCTCGGCACAGAACTTCAAGTTCGCGCGGCAAGATGCCGTGGACCAAGCCTTGATCGAGCCGTGGGCGGTGGTGAAGAAGAGGTGCATCTTGGTCATCACAGTCGTGATTTCAGTGTAGCCAGTATGGCGTGACATGTTTCGCATCTCCGCAACCCAACCCTCAGCATCATCAAAAGCCTGCTCGAAATCCTTCTGGAAAGACTTCGATGCGAGATCAAATGATGTCGTAGCTGTATCGTCCTCGATCGACTGCGCAACGTGCTTGCGGCTGGCCTCCATGAAGGCCTTGCCCACGGGGCATGCCTGCATGGTGCGCGCGAGCTCCGATGCTGGAGAGCTGGCCTGTCTGATCAAGTCGTGGATTGTCCTCCTTGCCTGCCTGACTTCGGCAGTGGGCGGCCTGGAGCTCTCATAATGGCTCATGCACTTCGCGATGGTGACGACGCTCCTCAACGCCTTTGAGGCCAAAGGTCTACGACCAACCCCCGCCTTGGAACTCTCACAAAACTGGACAAACCCACTCGAATTTCAAACAATATGTTTTCCGAGAAACTGAAGCAAGCCCTTGGGAATTTGGGCTTCACGAAAAAGAGCGTGCAAGGCGATGCGTGGGCCGCATTGCTTTGGCATCGCGACGCCTCAGAGAAAGAATCATCCTCCATGTCCGTCGCGACCTGGCTCTCCTTCGAATCCCAGCTCTTGCCGACCAACTCGAGATCCTGCATGACCTTGTAAGCGTCGGTGGCGCGCTCCGCGGACTCTGCTGGCACGCTGGAAAGCCATGCTCGAATGGATTCCGAAATCATGCACGACATGTAGAAGACAGGTGTCTGGCCAGTGGGCACTCGAGAATGGATGTCTTCCAATTGTCGTCGAGCCCTCCTCTTGGGCCTTGCTTCCAGCTGCCCGCCAGCATTCCCACTGCCACTCTGCGCCTCAGTAGCTGTGGCTGTGACGCAGCAAGAGTCCACCTCGATATCGGCCTCGACCTTAACTGCTGGGGCGGCCTCCACGATAGGGGTATAAGACCTGATCTTGCAGAAGACTTCGAGAATCGTAACGTCGAATATCTCCATGGCCTGAGGTACAGACTTTAACTGAGCCGCAAGTCCCTGGAAGATGGCGTATATCATGACGATGCGGAGCTCCTCTGACAAACACACGCGTTCCTTCATCAAACAGGGCAACACAATCGTAAACGGCTCCAGCGTATCTATCAACATGGCATCGTCCTGACTCTCCAGCCAGCCCTTGGTCCCCTTGTACAAAGCAATGAGACCTTTATCAAGTCGATTGTCCAGCTGGTGAAAGGCACATTGTACGTCGAACTGAGCCTTCCCAACAACGTTGTGCTTGTGCTTCATGAGGCGCCTGTGCAGAGCGTGCATAGTTCCCAAGACAAATTTGTCGTACCAGCTCGACTCAGCGAGCTTGTTGACGTACGCGTTGATGGTTCCCCTGATCTTGTTGACAGCCCCGTAGACAGTCCCTGACGGGAGGTTGCCGCTGACAGACAGGTCGTTGATGCCCTTGGTCTGCTGGAACGCCAAGATGTTCTCGCCGTCGTCGACGTTGCCGCCGTCCACTGCAAGCGGTCGATCGCCTTGGCCATCACCGTCTCCGTCGGCATCTGCCACGTCGTCCTGTTCTGGATCACCATCCTCGGTGCCCACTGGTCGAGCCATATCCTGCGCCGCCTCTGGCACAGGTGGCGGCTTGACGCTCGTGCTCTGCAGCATGGCCACGGCCGTGCTGTAGAACGCCAGGCTGAGCCCACCAAGCTCCAGCATCGCGGTGACCGACTCCTCGGTTGCGTCCTTCGTCTTCGCGTGCTCGGTGCCGCTGCCGTCTTTCATCTCCTCCTGGCCCGCGCTGGTGACCTCCCATCGGTTCTCGCCGCGGTTCTCTTGCTTGACGAACCTGTCATCCCCGTCCATGCCACGGACGGCTTCCAAGGGGGCTGGGCCCATAGAACTCAAAATGGCATGGCTCGCGTCGAACTGCACCCTGCTCCCAAGGCGCCTGGGTGCGACAGACACTGAGTCCTCAGTGCACGCCAGGGCGCCCATCAAGTCGGGCAGACACAACTCAAGCGTCTCCTGAGGGGGTGTCTGCTGCCCGCCTGCTGAGGAGCTGCTCGCCATTCCCGAGGTTGCGGTGGCACGAGATTGCGGGGTGGTGGGCGGTGCAGATCCCTGGGCACTTCGGAAAGGCTGGTAGTGCGGCTTCGAGCCCCCAAAAGCGCACGGTGGTGGGGAGTGGTGGTGCCTGGCCGAGGCAGACGTGCCTCGAGAAGTCACCGACAGCGTCCAGAAAAAAATCTCCCCTCCCCCCTATGCTCCCTCATCCTGCCCTCATCTCCCACTCTCCTTCTTGCCCTCCCACATCCTCACCGCCCCCATCCCCCCCATATTCTGGACGCTGACGCGAATCCGTCGATCCGTGGCTGGTCAAGGAAAGTAGCAACATAGAAAGATAATTGCATTCAAACGACAACCAGTGTCATATGAGCATCGCATGCACGGGCGAAGCAACTATTCAATATCACCTTGTTTGAGAATCGCACATTCTAGTTCTCTGGAACCAACATACCCTAAAATAACCAAAATGCCATAAATAACCCAAGACCCCTCAGAACCCCAACGTACCCTAAAGAATTATGAGATCCCCAAAGTATCCCGATGAAGCCTAACGTGCACTAGAGAACCCTAAGATCCCAAGAACCTAAGATCCCCAAGAACCCCTATGAACCCTAGAGTGCCCTCAGAAGCCCTAGGAGACGACATGGTTGTCCTAAGAACCCCAGGGTGCCCTCAGAAGCCCTAAGAACCCCAGAGTGCCCTCATAATCCCTCAGAACACTAAGAACCCCTACGAACCCCTACGAACCCCTAAGAACCCCCACGAGCCTTAAGAACCCCTAAGAACACCTAAGAACCCCTAAGCACCCCTAAGAATCCCAGAGTGCCCTCAGAAGCCCTAAGAACCCTAGAGTGCCCTCAGAAGCCCCTTAAGAACCCTAGAGATCCCCAAGAATCCCTAAGAAACCCTGGAGTGAATGTTTTGTGCGAAGCCACGGTGCCCTCGCAAGCAGACTGTCGTTCGAAAGGGCAGGATCCGTTTACCGATATCGCGAAATGTGAATCACAAACAGGCGAGGCTGAGAGTCCGACGTTGAGAAACTCAGCAAATTGTAACACGCTTGTGAGCTCAGAAATCTCCAGACTCTAAACCAACAGTGTGCAGTCCCATACCATTGTTCTTTTCGGTTGGTCTGCAAAGGCCCAGATGGCCATTGGCAACGTCGCTTACCTCTTCAAAGGAGAATCTTCGCCGAGCCCAGCCGCAATATCGCGAAATAGAACAGCACCTGCACTTCCACCATTTCCATTGTTCTTACCAGAAGAGCTCGCACTCGACTTGAGATGATCATCATCACCAGTCAGATCTACTCGGCCCCAGCGGCCTGTCTTGAGGTAGTTGGCGTGCGCTTCGTTCACCCACCTCTGACTCTCAGTCAGACTCTGAGGGGTTGCATGGGTAGGCTTCGGCTGCTGCTCCTGAGAGTGAAGGTGCCCCTCCTGGGTGATCAAGGAATCCTGCGCGTCGTTGTCGCGCCGATGCAAACTCTGAGGTTCAACTGGAAGACCAAGATAGTCTTCGAAAGAGTCTTCGAGGTTCTGGGAGCCATCGCCGTCGCCCCAACTGACAACCTGTCTCTTCAAAGGCTGCACGTCACACTGGCGCGCGGCAACTGGAGATGACTGAGATGACACCGGTTTGGGCTCCTCCTCGGGCAGCCTCTCTCTGGCAGCCTCCACCCGCTCTTGGTCACGATTCTGCTGAACTTGAACTCCAGGATTTTTAGATCTGATTTCTATGCGAATTGGTATCTTTAGGAAAATGACATGGTCCTTCTCGAAATTTGCTGGGAGCTCGGCAAGATTGATCTTCAGAATCGAACCGCGATGCCCATGCGACTGGGTAAGAATGGGTCTTGCCTCAGCTTCCATACTATACACACAACAACATGTAACAGAGTGAATACAGTAAAGCGACGAGAATGCCAATGAATCTTCTGAATGAAATGAAGCGATGGCTTGGGCAAAAAAAAAGCAGCCACAGTCGCTTTCCATGCGCATTGGAGGTTCCTGTCGTGAGTCAGGCCTTCTCAATATTATAATATGTCTTCATCGTTGGTTCAGAGATAGCCCGAACGCACAAATACCCCAAATATTCCGAGATACCCGATACCCCAAGAAACAGAGCCCCAAGTCGCCCGAAGAGCCCCAAGCCCAAGAACCTAAAACGCCCAAATGATTGAATTGCCCTAAGAGAAATCTAAGAACCCAAGCTAAGCTTACGCAAGAACATGTGCTAGGTGTCGTATCATACATCGACGCATACTGGTAGCCTAGCGAGCGCGTCTGTCAAAGTGTGTGTTGTTTGTGTTGGTACAATGGTACAATTGTGCACATAGGCAAATAAAATATGCACCATGCGTTCTTATGTTGCGTTGCTATGTATTACGTTCGCTTACATGTCCTAGACAATGCGCTGACATCTACACACCAAACAACACAACACTTGTATACGTATATGCGTACGTACTGGCAATTGTGGTGGGGAAAGAGAAGATTGAGAGAGGGAGCGAGAGAGAGAGAGAGAGAGAACAAAAAAAGAGAGAAAGAGAGCGACGCGGCGTGCGTGCTGGCGTGCGAAAAATATAAACGCGAGAGAGATATCGAAAGAGGAATAAAAATAACGACAATAAATACAGCGTCAGAAATAAAAAAGAAAAGAAACACGCAATGTAAAAGTAAACGGAGAAACCAGAAGTGAAACATTATGAGGAGGTGGGGCGAAATAGCGGACGTCGGTTTGGTGCGCAAGGTGAAAAAGGCAAAGGGAGCGGTGAGGGTGGCGGTGGTACCGGAGGGGAAAAGTGAACGCGCGCGCGTGCGCGCGCGTCGGTCATTTGCATCGCAGCGCTCTAATTAGGTTCTACAGAGTTTGGGCTATGTTAATTCGAAAACTCAATGACGAAAACCCAATGTAAAATTTCATTATCAGATCAGAAGAGGCAACTATATGAATGTGGAACATAGAAAATCTACTACGCCACCATGCAAATGACCGACGCGCGCGCGCGAACGCTTCGCGGTGTAATAGATTTCCTATATTCCACATTCATATAGTTGCCTCTTCTGATCTGAGGATGAAATTTTACATTGGGTTTTCGCCATTGGGTTTTCGAGTTAACATCGCACAAATCTGTTTAGAACTTAACTGAAGTGGCGCGATGCAAATGACCGGCGCGCGCGCGCACGCGTCGGTCATAGGCATCGCGGCGCTTCAGTTGAGTTCTACAGAATTTTGGGCGATGTTAACTCGAAAACCCAATGGTGAAAACCCAATGTAAAAATTCATTCTCAGATCAGAAGAGGCAACTATATGAATGTGGGATATTGGAAATCTATTACACCGCGAAGCGCGCGCGCGCGTCGGTCATTTGCACCGCGCCGCTTAAATTAAATTATACAGAATTTGGGCGATGTTATCTCGAAAACCAAATGGCGAAAACCCAATGTAAAATTTCATTCTCAGATCAGAAGGGGCAACTATAAGAATGTGGAACATAGGAAATCTATTTCACCGCGAAGCGCGCGCGCATGCGCGCGCGCGCGTCGGTCATTTGCATCGCGGCGCTTTAGTTAAGTTTTGAACAGATTTGTGCGATGTTAACTCGAAAACCCAATGGCGAAAACCCTATGCAAAATTTCATTCTCAGATCAGAAGGGGCAACTATATGAATGTGGAATATAGAAAATCTATTACACCGCGAAGCGTTCGCGTGCGCGCGCGCGCGCGCGCGTCGGTCATTTGCATGGTGGTGTAATAGATTTCCTATATTCCACATTCATATAGTTGCCTCTTCTGATCTGAGAATGAAATTTTACATTGGGTTTTCACCATTGGGTTTTCGAGTTAACATAGCCCAGAATTCTGTAGAACTCAATTAGAGCGCCGCGATGCCTATGACCGACGCGCGCGTTAATCAATGCTGTATGCTTATTTATAAAAGCGAACATATAAGTTCTAAGAAAAACTAAATCGAAAAATCCTGGAACTCTTAATAAAGCTCACGGGCGCATCAGCCATCGGCTGACGCGTCCGCCAGCTTCGGTCGACAACCCAGCCGAGGTCGATCATCCGTCGCCCATCGGTCGACGCGCCGTCCATCGGTCGGCCATCGGTCGACGCGTCACCAGCGGATTTCACAAGGTCGCGTGTCTCGACCAGATAAAGAATTTTTACATTGTGTTTTCACAATCGGGTTGTCGACGCATCTGCTGCATCGTTGTATAGAACCGACAACGCAGATGGTCGGCGCGTGCGTCGGCCTCCGTCAAGAACCCCAAAACATTGAATTTCGTCTTTAAATTAAACATCATTTTGTCTATACTGAACAACGCAAAACTTAGTATCGCGCGAGCGCGTTAATGACTTCTGTATTATCCACTATGCGAAACCGACATGTAACTCCAAAAACTCAAAAGGGGGCTGTCGTACGCGTCGACCATCGGTCGAAGCGTCCGTCACATTCGGTGGGTCATCGATCGACCGAGATCGACCATCGGTCGCCATCAATCGATGCGTCGACCATCGGTCGGCCGTCGGCCGAGGCGTCTCTAGCTGATTTCTCGCGGTCGCATCTCCCGATCAACGGCAGGGTTGCGATTTGGTTGGAGGGCGCGCGTCGGTGAGAGGGAGGGATCGACGCCGCGGACGGGGCAGATCGGCGAGAGCAATCGCGGCCCAGCGCCGCAATTCAACGCCAATCGCAGAATGCGCCGAGCTGCCCAAGGAAAGCCGAAGACACACTGGTTGGTTGATTCGCATGGAAGCGAGAACCATCCTGAAGTAACGCGCCCGAAAGGCAGCAACTGACTGGAGTAACTCCATTACAGGCAAGCGAAAGGGCGAAGCAACTCGTCCCAGCCCAGGCGACCCGCAGCAAGCAACGTAGTCAACGCGCGAGGGCGACGACAGAGGCGTAGTCAACACCAAGCGGCGACGACAGACCCGTAGTCAACGCAGGAGGCGACGAAACCAGCGTAGTCAACTCGAGGACGACAAGCGAC